ATACATATATGATATTAAAATTTTGTTTCTTCTTAACTCTTCTTCCTCAATCTTATTGTTGAAATCCTAACAATCTAATCTACAACCATGAAATATACGTGTTGTGCAATAATATAGTTATATAGTTTTTTTTAACAGCAAAAGCATGCACCCATGCAAACTCTGTAATTATGTTCCTAATTCTATAAATTATGATTTAATAATTATACATGAAAAAACAATGTTAGTAGCAAAACAATCTTATAATTAAGAGTAAATTACACGAATGGTCTCTATGGTTATGAGTTTTTTGTATTTAAGAGTAAATTGTATATAAAACGTATGTTGTTTTTTTTGTATTTAACGAATAACAAATATATGAAAAATCATAAATACTACAACTTTTAATAACATAAAAAAACACTAAAACATCTACTATAACATTTGTAACAAAAAAAACTTATTAAATTCTTATAAATCATGTAAAAATATAGAAATCTGTAACATCCTGTTCCAGATCGGATCGATTTAGGGCTTCAAGGAATCAAAGACGTGATTTTTGGGTAAAACCAAGGCTCATAGCGTGAGCCAGAAAAGGGTCACGACGCGAGGAGTGATTAAATGAAATGTTGAATTATGATGAGCTCACGGTGTGAGCAATAAAAACTCACGACGTGAGGTTCGCTGTAGCTCAAGACCATGATCTTTTAGGGTTTTCTTCGTATTTAAACCTAATAAACTTCATTTTAGGGTTCCTAAACATCCTCTTCCATCCCTAAACTCAGTAAAACCCTAACCCTAGCCTCTCATTGTGATTCTTGAGTTTTTGGTGGAATTTTGGTGGTTTGGAGAAGAAGCTATCACCATTAAATCATATTTGGAGCTTCCATTTGCAACCTTTAACTACACTTCTAGATCATTATGAGTAACCAAGATCCAAACTTTATGTTTCCTTGTTGCTAGGTCTAAGTTTCTATGCATATTTAGCCATAGTTTAAGAGTTAGAGTGTTGGGAATCCATAAAGTTGACAACTTTATGGGTCCAAGGGGTCCCTTGGTGCTTATATCTTATGGATCTGAAGTTTAGAGGATGTTTGAGTCCATGCTCGAGAACTTAACTCCTTTTTCTTCATAAATAACCTTGTTTGGGCTTAAGTCATGTACTGGACATACAAGACCTTAAAGCATCAATTTTTATGATCCTAACAGTGTTAGGAAGCCTCCTGAAAAAGATGGATTGGTAGCTTGGATTAAGAGGTTTATGGATCAAAATGGTGTACAGACGGGTCTCACGACGTGAGGAAGATACATGTCACGTCGGGATGGTCTCAAGACCTGATTATTTTTTCCTGTAGTGACTCACGACTTGAAGCCATAGATGGTCACGTCGTGAGGGCTTGCTGACTGTTCACTTTTGTTGACCATTAACCGTTGACTTTTGAAAAAGTTTGACTTTGGGTCAAACTTAAGGATTTTGGACTATTGATTAAGATTCTATTTGGTTCTGGTGTTAGTGGATTCACGGGAGCAAACAATGTTGAAAAAGGGATCGTATTGCAGTGTTCAAAGTTCTTTGATTCATGTGAGTTTCGCCCCATTATACCGTGGGTCGAAGGTAACAATGTCGACCCACTAGTTTTAGTTATATTTAGTAGAGGGATGTCATAAGGACTATATATATATATTATATATATATATATATATATATATATATATATATATATATATATATATATAGTTATGTAGGATAGACTGATGACTCTTGATCTAGACTTTCTTTTATGTTCATTGTTTAATTGTGGCTATAAAGTAGGATCACCTGTCCGAGTGTCTATCTCACCTCTGAGTATACACGGTTATGCATTTCTTGGGTTGTTGGGATATAATATGTTTTTATGCTGTAGTGATTTGTTAGATCTGTATCCTGGTATATAATATGTTGTTATGTTGTAGTGATCTGTTATATCTATATTTCGGTATATAGGATGTTGGAAATTCGAATACGACATACCTAATTCAAAAAGATTATAAAAATATGTATAGAAACAATGCATGAAAGTTTACCTCTTATTCTATAATAATAGAAAGATTAACAACCTATAAAGAATGAAAAAGTAAAAATATACAAACAAACATGTACACATCATAAAGAGAATGATAAAAGAATAGTGGAGTGAATCATTAAATAGAATAGTTACTGTGACTCACGACCATAAATTGTGAGTGAATGTTTTAAGTTTCAAATATATGTTCTATTCAATTTCGGGGGCATATTTGCATCTCTCTTTCTCTCTTTCTCTCATACTCATACATGATTATGCTTTTACTATTGCTTATGCGTTTACTTAGTTTTGAGATTTAGCCACTAATATTTTATTTTTTCAAATTAAACCGTAAAAATCTCCATGGCTAAACAACAAAAATGATTCCTTTGACAACTTTTTTGTACCACTTGCTCGACATTCATGAATCTGAATAGTACATGGTGTGTTTAATCGTTTGTGATTCTGAGAACATATCATCCCGCTACCATGCCATCACAAATTACAATGTTTATAAATTATAAATATAATTTACTAAAGAAAAGGGTTGCAAATTGAAAATACCTTATTTTGTGAAAGAAAAAGAAAAATAATTTTAGAAGAGTGTATGTGCTATAGTTGAGATTAAAAGGCGAAGAAAAAAGTCTAATACGTGGTCAATCCCAAAATTAAGTATAAGAAGCTTGGCATGAAAAATAAAGCACTTACCCAATTAAATAACTAGTAATTTGGCAACATATGTTTCTCATCCTTCACCTAAAAATTAGATTATTGCTCTATTTTTCATGGCCTCTAAACATACATAAGCCAAATTTCTTTTAATTATAAGTTTTTATTATTAACCATTATACTTTACAAAATCTAGTTATACTTAAAAGACAATAAGGTAATACATGAAACAAATAAAGAGATATCAGCAACCAATGGGCTTATTATGCAGGAGGAGCGTGAAGGTGTGGAATATAGATTAAATACGACCACTTATGTAAAAAAAATATAGTTTTACATAAAAATGCAAAAGAAATCAAAAGAAAAATCCATAAGGCTAGGAGCTCATATGGAAATGTATGTCTTGATCCAACAACCTGATAGAAAGATACCTTCCAGCTTCACAAGCTCATCCGTCTATAATCTATCCAATTCCAGCTCTGAAGAAGATTTAGAAACATGTTCATATGAAAAGAATAACATTATTGATGATTGATGATAGAGAATAGATAATAGAAACATGTACAAACCTGCAACATACTTGAAAGACGGGAGAAGCCAAGCGATGAGCTTCTTTGGTCCGATCGAGAAGCCATGAAAGACGGGAGAAAACATAACAATTGCCAAACAGAAGTCGTCGATGAAAGCACAAAGACGAACAATTCTAAAACCCAATTACATAACCCTAAAGAAAGATGAGAAAAGAGAAAAAAGATTACCTGTCGTAAGAAGAGTTAGGAGGGAGAAACACAGAAACCGGGAGTTGGAGAAGATGATCAGAAAGGAATCAAGAGAAAATCACGTGGAAAGTGAAAGAGTGTGTAAGCAGAAGGGATAAAATTGGGGAAATATGAATAGAAGATGGGAAAAAGTTTCAAAATAGAATAATATTAGAAAATAGAAGGCTAAAGTGTGAATAATTAAAGAAAGGACACATTGTTAGGAAAATGTAAAAAACATAGAGAAAATGACTTTTTAGGGTAACAAATTTTTGGTTTTATTTTCCAGTAAGCCTATGAATTTTCCGATCAAACATAAAATTTCCGATAAACATTATGAATTTTCTAGGCAATTTGAACACACACATAAACACAAATCTGAAATCTAGTTTTTTTTTTTTTTTTTTTTTTTTTTTTTTTTTTTTTTTTTTTGTGTGCTTCTTAAAATCGATTTCAAAACCAAGGGTTGAAGAACGCTTTTAGATTTTAGAAAAAATGAAGATCAAAATCCCTAAAATCTAGGTTCGTTTATTAGAATCGGTTTCAGAAGAAAAGATCTTAACATCTTGAAGCTCTTACCCAAAAAACAATTCCAGATGTATTGTGTTAATCGATTTCAAACCCAAAATTTGAAGCTCTTCATCTGTTTTTATTTCTGGAACTCACGACTCATGAACACAACGAAACCTTTGATTTCAAGGGTTGCGTTTCTGGGTTTTCAAGAACAATAAGAAGCCGTTTGATCTGTGTTGCTTTTTGGTGGGTATTCTTGAAGCTCGAAGACTTATAAACACACACATACATACATACACACACATGTCGATTTCTAGGTTTGTTCTTGAAAAACATGAACAAGATGCCATATTTTGCTTGATTTATGATGAATTAGATGTAAGTGTGTGTGTTCTTGAAATCGTTTTTTTATCTGGAATCATTTCCAAAATCGTTGGGATCTTTGAAGATTTGTGTGCAAACCAAAGTGTTTCTGAACAGGTGAAGATGAAGAACACACGAACATGTTTGGGACAAATCGATTTATTGAATTTGAGAATTTTGATCTCTTAATTTTGTTGGACACGATGAAGATGAGCACCTCTCAGATCCGACACACTTTCAACCTTCGCTTTCTGACATTTAACGCTTAGCTTTCTGGACCTTCAAACTCACTGACGAACACACTCAAGAATTTTTTGTGTGTTCTTAAACATGAACGACAAACACGAAAACTAAAATCGTTTATAGAAACAAACGAACAGATGAAAGTGAGTGTTCTTGAAATCGTTTTTAGATTGGTAATTATTCCAAAAATCATTTGGCTGGAAACTTGCCGGAAAAGACGACCTGAGTAACGTACTCGCCGAAAACTTTCAATACCTGGTAATAATGATATCTTTTGAACATCTACAACAATATCAATAGTAAATAGAATAAAAAAAATGAACCAAATAGAACAAAACCAAAATTTTGTTATCTTAAAAAACCAAAATTTTGTTACCTTAAAAAGTCATTTTCCAAATATATATGACAAAAGTCACAAAGAAGAAGGCATCTCATGCTCTCTCCGTTCGAAACCCAAATACATCCCTTTATTCGCTTATCCTTCGCAATTTGCCACCACGCCACCTCACACTTACCGGCCGCCACTACACCATCTCTACTTGTCACCGTCACTACACCATCCCTACTAGTCACCGCCGCTCCACCATCGCTAATCGTGGGCCTCCGCTTCACCGAAGGTTGCTGAGAAGTGAGAACGACGCAAGCTTCTCATTTACAAAATCGACATCGAAGCTGTAACTGAGTAAGTCCAGATTCCTTGATTTCGTTACTTAGACCAATTCTTTTGGTTTTCGCAATTTATTTCGATATGTATAACTGTAATGAATTGATTGTGGTTGTGTTAATGTTGTTAATGGTTTACAATGGTGGTTTGGTAAATGACATTTGCAACCAACGCACAAAGCAAAAAAGGTAACAAACAAGTAAACTATGAACACGATGTTTTACAATGGTATTGGATCGTATTACAGAAATGTTGCGTTCGCTTCTCCGAGCAGTCGCCTCTGCACAGTCGAAGTCAACTCTCATCCCAACCTCCATTGCAGCATCGAATTCCAAATCTTCTCAGCTGACATCTTCCAGAGCTTTCGCGGCAAAGAAAGCCAAATCCTTGGGTGCAAAGGCGGGCAATAAGAAAGCTCAGCCTAAATCCAAAGCCGATGTGAAAACAAAGTCGAAACAGGAAGAGACTGTTGGTTCCTCCGTCGATGATGCAGCTCATGATCTCATCTCGGACGAAAGAAACCGCAGGCGCCTCCTCGATGAAGATGAGCGCGATATGTCACTTGACATCGGCCCTAACGGACGACCGTTGTTTACTTCCGCTCCTTTATCTGAACTCAGTAGAAAGGACGCCTGTACTTACATGAAGTTTAGGTATTGTATATGCCTTTCATTTTACCTGTACATTTGCAAATCTAAATTTTATCCATCGAGTAACACGCTTCTGTTCTTACATTTCGAGAATCTGTATATCATTCATTGAGGATTTGAATTTGATGTGGATTCATTCCATAACTATTCGCTTTCTTTTGACATACAATAGGAAGAAACTGGAGTAGGAAGATATACCTGTTCTTTTTGCAATTGACCAAGTGAGTTGTTGACTTTTTCTATTTCTCTTTGCAATCTGTTATTATTATTTCTGAGCATATATATGATCAGTATAATAGTTGGTTCACATTCACTGAATTCGAGGAGCCAATAACTGTTGGTTCATCTCGTCCAATTCATGCTAAAGAAGTTGCCATGGTTAGTTTGTTGGCATTGTTATATTCAACTCTTTTTTAGTTTATGCTAAAGAACCAAATAGTGTTGGTATTCAGGTGAATGCATTTCCTTATGCATGATAACATGCATGATACATACCTTGGGATGTTGAATTATTGATAGTTTCTCTAAATCCAACAATGCTCGCGTCACTGCTCTTTCATTAACTTTAAACCCTATTACACCAGAACATAAGAGTAATTATCAAAAATAGACATTACAACTTCAATCGTTAAGTAAGTAGACTACTAACCAGGTAGGCACGTATAAAAAAATATTCTAAATATATATACCAGTTAGTATAAAAAACATCAGTAAACTGTTGTCATTTTTTTGGGTTCAAATCAGACCTTATTGTCATCATACATCTAACACTATCCAAAATCCAAATATTTAGTTCTAAGTCGGACCTTATGGTCACCCGTTACTATTAGCGACTTAACTAAATTCATTACCATCACCTGTTACTTTTTCTTTATAAACCTTAACGGATCGATCCTAATTTCTCATCCTTTTGAAAAGAACATAGGTTAAAGAAAACAATAATAGGGTTTAACAGGAAGAATTTTCCTTGTTATTTAATAAAAAAGAGAGTTATTAGAATAATATAAAAGAGAGAGGTTTAGGTGTTTGTAGACATCTGCAGCAAAAGAGGTGGACCAGAGCCGGTCCAATTGTTTTTCATGCCCTGGGCGGTAGAAGATAATAGTGCCCCTTTCAATACTACCGAACTACAACAAAATTAATGTAAGAAAAAAAATTAAGCAACACCGGAAGTCCGGAACAAAACTGTAAAAAACAAGTATGATTTTTAATAAGTTAATAAGGCAAAAATTGAACGTGCTAAAAGTTTTCAGCTCCTTGTTTTATGGATTGAATTGTATATCCTTCTTCAAACCCCAATAATTGATTAATTTGGAAATGTAAAATCGAACAAGATAGTTAAAACAATGTAACAATGAAATAATTAGAATGTGTACTTCCAAGTGCAATAAAAATCTACTAAACATTAAACAAATGAGTATAATACAACATGTAAAGAAGTAAATTAAACAAATAAGTAAATAAAACTCAGAATTTAAAAAATATACAAAGAAAATTATAAAGTATAAGAAGTCAAAAAAAGTAAACACGTAAATAGAACTAGGATTTGGCCTTCAAAAAAGGATTAAAGTACAAAGTCCATAGATACAGGCACCAAAAGAAAGCCAAAATCATACCAAAAAAACTCAATTTAATCATCTTAGAAGCATTTCATCAAACACTTGCTTTGCAAAATTTGACAGGCACCAGCAAAACACCACAGGTTCAAGACTACAAGGTAAATTTGTCTTTCAAGAATTCAAGAAAAAGGGCAAAAAAACACGAACACATGTTCACTTAATCTATTGAAGGGAAAGGGCATAATCGCCCTCGTCTTTGGCTGATCGACTCACTGAGTCACTGTAGAAAATAAAAAATCAAATATTTAGAAAGCAGAGTAAAAGGCAAAAAGCTTGTAGATAATGATGACAGGAGATGGAGATTCAATTTCTGAGTTATCATTTTTACAGGAAACTAAACGCAAACTAAATTTTTCTTTATCACTATATAGGTTTCAGATATCACAATAGTAGGAAGCTTATAGTAGAGAAATCTCAGATTATAATGAAAAGTAAAGAAATTCACTAGCATTTAGTAGCAAGTAGGTTTAAGAGAGATTGAGAGAAATAGAAAAATTATAATGAGAAATTGAGAATGATGAAATTTACTCAATTCAGACGTATGTCGATTAAAGGCTCTCCAATCCTCGATCTCGACAATATGTTTTTCTAGAAGTTCGCTTGCTTTCTCAAGGTGCTTCGCGCCTACGCTTGAGATGATGATTTGTTTTCTCATTCCTCAAACGCCGGTAATCACTATTGGACTATTTCGATTAAACTTTGGGCCAAAGGTATATATAAAGTATTAGGAATTGGACCAAAATGATGCCCCTATTATTTTGATGCTATGGGCTACAGCCCAACTCGTTCATGTATTGGGTCGGGTTTGAAGTAGATCAAACGTCTGCAATCTGAAAAAAAAAAAGATTTTGTTTTTTTTAACATCTGCAGGCTATTAAAATAAACTAAAATCTAAATAAACTGTTTTTGTAAACTACAAAATGATTTTTTAATATATTTATGACTTTGTTATAAATAATTAACACATTTAAATCAACTTTTATATATTATTGAATAAAAAGTGAAAATAAAAATGATACAAATTAACGTATATATTTGATAAAAACCAACAAATTTTGGTCACAAAGTTATGCATAAACATTATAATTAAGAATCAAAGAATTTGATATATAAATGAATGGAAAAAAACTTCGATATTTTCAATTAAATCAATTAAAAAAGTGTAATAATTATTTTTTCTAAGAAATTAATAATACTTTATTGAATAATGTTTTATAAAATCAGGGAGGCCCAGGTTGAGGGCCTCAAGGAAGAGAAGCATAAATGTGAGAGGATTGTGGGCCGAGCAGCTGCGTTCGATTATGATAGTCGGGGGTTGTTGACCCTTCATGGGGAGTGTGGGTACCGTACGGAGGTGGAGTACGGCAGGTGTTGATGGACGAGGCTCATAAGTCTCGATTTTCTATCCATCTCGGGGCAACGAAGATGTATAGAGATCTTCGACCCGATTATTGGTGGCCCTGCATGAAGCGGGATGTTGCTTGGTATGTAGAGAGGTGTCTGACCTGCAGGAAGGTCAAGGCAGAACATCAGAGGCCTCACGGCAAGATGCAGCCGTTAGACATTCCCGTGTGGAAATGGGAGGACATCACCATGGATTTTATCACTAAGCTTCCCAGGACCGCACGAGGGGTAGATTCGATTTGGGTGGTAGTGGATCGGTTGACGAAGAGTGCTCATTTCATACCGATCCAGGAGAGCATATCAGCGGAAAAGTTAGCCGATATTTATGTGCGGGAAATAGTTGCACGTCATGGAGTGTCGGTATCAGTGGTGTCAGACCGAGACGTCCGTTTTACATCCAGATTCTGGAAGCGGTTCCATGACGAGATGGGTACTCGTCTTCATTTCAGCACCGCTTTCCACCCTCAGACGGACGGGCAGAGTGAGAGGACGATTCAGACTCTCGAGGACATGCTCCGAGCATGTGTTCTAGACTTCGGGGGCAGTTGGGATACGTATCTTCCGTTAGCGGAATTTTCGTATAACAACAGTTATCATGCGAGCATTGATCGACCTCCCTTTGAGATGCTTTATGGGAGGAAGTGCAGGACCCCGATTTGTTGGGGCGAGGTCGGTCAGCGGGTTATTGGGAGCACGGAAGTGGTGCTCAAGACGACCGAGTTGATTCAGCAGGTTCGTGGTAGACTGCAGACTGCGCAAAGTCGGCAGAAGAGCTACGCCGATAGGAGGCGTTCAGATTTAGAGTTCCGGGTAGGCGACATGGTCCTTCTGAAGGTCTCACCTTGGAAAGGTGTCATCAGGTTTCGGAAGAGGGGAAAGCTGGGCCCCAGGTTCATTGGTCCTTTCAGGGTTTTGGCCCGGGTGGGTCGGGTTGCTTATCGGTTGGATCTTCCGGCAGAGCTTAGCCAGATCCACAACACTTTCCATGTGTCTCAGTTGAGGAAGTGTTTGGTGGATGAGTCAGCAGTTGTTCCTTTAGAGGATATCCAGGTGGATAGCAGCTTGAATTATATTGAGAGGTCGGTCGCGATTCTGGATCGGAAGGCAAAGACCTTGAGGAACAAGGTAATTCAGCTAGTGAAGGTGCAGTGGGAGCACCGGAAGGGGTCTGAGTGGACGTGGGAGGCTGAAGATGAGATGAGAGAACATTATCCCGAGTTATTTGCAGATGCAGCAGCAGACTTCGAGGACGAAGTCTGAGTCAAGTGGGGGAGAGTTGTAACGACCCGTCTCTGGTATGTTGCTTTTTAGTATTTATTTTTGAAGTTTGTAGAGGAACTCGGCGAGTCTATGTCCCGACTCGTCGAGTAGGGTCGCGTTGTTGATCAGCTTATAGATCGGCGACTCGGCGAGTCCATATTCGGGACTCGGCGAGTCGGCCTGCCAGGTTGAAACCCTAAATCTCCGGGTTTGCACCCTATTTAAACCACCTTATCAGCCCCAAACTCGCCTCCTTCACCTCAGAGAGCTGTGAGAAACCCTAAACCCATCCCTTGATTGATTGAAGTGTCTTTGTGTGGATTCTTGAAGGCTTGAAGAAGAAGAAGAAGAAGAAAGGAACAAAGAGAAGAGGTGTAGAGCAAAGATCCAAGGTCAAAATCAGAGTTCTTTGAGGTATTTCTCGGAATCCTCCTGTTTTATGCTTAAAATCTCCATTAGAACATTTCTAGGGTTAGTTTGATGTATTTTTCCAACCTTATAGTTGATTGGATGCCTTAATAGGTCGAGATATCCTTAGATCTGTTCATTTGGGAGTTGTAGAGCCCAGATCTATTGCCTTTTTGAAGTTGCTTTGTATGAGAACCCTAGATCGAGCCTTTATCATGCTTTTTGAACCTTATTATCTTCTTGGATGCTTATGTACACGTAAAGATAGAATCTTTACGTGTTAATCGAACTAAGGAAGCCCAGATCTATAAGTTTTAGATGCTGGATTCAAGCAGAATCGAGTTTTGAGTAGCTGCATGGATGCGACTCGGCGAGTCGGAAGAACGACTCGGCGAGTCAAGCCGCGAGTCCCGATTTTTCC